TCGCTTTTTCCGAACGTACAGTACGTGTGCGATATACATGCATACGTTACATGTTCTCTATTGTATCAATAAGACCTTAAACATCTACCCCAATGTCCTGGCCAAATTTCCCCATGACCTTTACCAAGCATGTCCTTCTAATAATCCTCATCTCTAAACTGATTTCATCTCTCTGATCTCCCGGCTGAGAGCTTGCGAGTGTACTGGTACATAACCGAGATGGGGCTACACAGTGGTAGTGGAGAGGAGTCCCCATTACCTGTAAAACGCTTTGAGTGGAGTGTCCAGAAAAGCGCAATATACTGTAAGTGTAAGGAATTATTCATTATTATTCTCGTGCTTGGGTTCCGGATATACAGTATATTAAACACAGTTGAACATACTGTAACACCAGGAATAAGTTAAATTATACTTTTACGTTTCATTTTTAACTTTTAAAGCAGCTCTTTCACAGGTCTGCCATCTCAACTCTAACCCGCTATCAAAGAGCTTGTCACAATTACCTAACTAAAACACAAGGGAGTGTGTTAAAACTACATGTCATGACAATTGTGTACAGTACGCGAAGATATTCAGTACTCAACTGGAATGAGAGTTACCTGTAGTCAATCACATCAGCCGCAGCTAAAGCGAACATCAGGATACTCAAAGCAACTCCTTAACAGAAGTGGGGAGAATTTCCTCAGGTTAACTTCGGTTAGAATCAATGCCAAAACAGGAGGAATTATAGCTGAGCTATTATAAACTGCAAACATCCAGATGTGCGTGTTTTATAGGCGTCTTCTTACAGGGCTGCAATTCAATTTGCTATTAGAGCATAAAGTTCCATGACTGGTTTAAACTAAAGGCTGTAAATAAACAATTATAGAGAAATTGAATCTTATTAGAATGATTTATACACAACTAATTTATTACACATTCGTTAAACGTCGGAAATTATTTTTCCAAACTGTCAATCAGGAGCTCAGACAACCCAACAGATTGCCCAGACAAGAAATCAATCATTACATTTTTTTTCATTTTAATTTATTTGCGCGACAGAACGTCCCACAAATCATTATTACACGAAATGTACACTACAGTTGTATTGAAAAATAGTGCGAAGGAGGTATACTTACTCATCTTGACAGAATGCAGCAGGTTTCTGCAAAACAAATAATTAGGATTAGGGAACACGTCAATAATTCCAACTACGCATTCATTGGTTTTCTTTATATTACATCTTTACATGTATTTATTGTTCATTGCAACACGACATTATGATGTCATTGTAAACATCTGTTTTTTATTGTCCAAATTCCTTTGTACTGAATTAGTATAGAGCATAAAAAAGTTGATGCGATTTCCAACAGATAGACCGACTCTCACCGATCATATTCAGTCTGATATGCTAGCTGTATAGCCCAAAGTACCATATTTTAGTTTTGCAGACCCAAACGAATACATTTTTAGTTTTGAAATATGAACCTCTGTTACAGTCATCGAAAGTACCAGATTACGTTTCTCAACTAACGGAATTTGGAAGTCATATGAAAAGCATGTACTGTATATCGATCGTAAAAACCAGACCAAAACAATGCAAGCACTGACACGAAAATAACTACAAGTTGCATTGTATTTAAACTGTTTTTTCTTTTCAGTGGAAAATGTTGCTTCAACCCACCCGGCTGATCTGTGAGCGGTGTCCTGTTGAATAGTGCCGAGCTCTGTCTCTTTTTATTGAGTAAAGGTCAATGCAAATTGGGAGCAATGAAGAAAGCCAATTTCCCACACGAGACGTTCGTATGAAGTTTCAGATGTTGGCGCAGTTGCGCATTTCCCGCGGTTCTGTCCGTTGGGGGGAGGTTCTTTTTTCAATGAACGAAATCCCAGGATCTGCGGATCCACAAATTTCTAAAACAATTAGTTTCAGGACCATTTTCATCGTGTTCAGCAACCAGGTGTCCTGTCTGTTCGGAAGAAGCTCCCTATCCGCAGCTGCTCAGCCCACACGAGATGTCCTGAAGG